TTAATAATTATTGATTTAGATGGAAAACGATTATATAGTAAATTTTATGAAAAAAATCCAAATATTCCATTACATAAACAACATGATATTGAAATACGAATTGCTAAAGCAGTTTCAGGAAAAGGAAATAGTGAATTATTTTTATTAGATAAATATGTTGTTTTATATAGAATGGTATCAGATCTTATTATTGCAGCATTAACGGATCCACAAGAAAATGAATTATTTGTTAGTAATGCATTAAATTGTATTGTAGAAGGATTTGAAATAATATTTGATAAAGGATTAGATAAAAAGATAGCATTAGAATTTTATGATAAAATAGCAATTGCTATTGATGAAGTTATAGATGATGGAATTATTCTTGAAGTTGATTCAGAAGAAATGGCTAATAGAGTTAGTTTTAAGAATATTAAAGGAAATGAAACAGGATTTAGTGGAGATGGAACATTTACTAGTGCATTAAATTTTGCTAAAGGATCATTATTAGGATTGTGGAGAGGTAAATAATAATGATATTCATTCTTCTTTCTTCTTTTTTTTTTAATTCATTATTTTTTTATGTTAAATTAATAAAAACAATTAAAATATAACAAATTAAATTAAATTAAAAAAAAAAAAGAAGAAGAAGAGAAAGAAAATATAATAAATAAAAATGATAAAATTTATAAATTTTTATTGTAATTTTATTTATCTAAATCCATCTTCTGTAATTTCAAAAGGAATATTACCATTTTGTAAATTAGATTTTGTTTGTATTATTGCTTGATATTTTGATTCTATTTGATAAAGAAAAATAGAATTTTTAATATATGATGAAAATATTACTCCACCATTTCTTATAAAATAAGTAAGAAATGGTGCTGATTGAATATAATCAATAGATGTATAATTACTATTAATTTTTTTTGTTGTTAAATGATTTACTATAACAACTGATAAATAAAATTTATTTGAATATATTGAAACAATTTGAATTATACGATGAAGTGCTGCTAATCTAATTGTATCATTACATATAGTTTTCTTATAAAATGTAGGTATTGAATCAATTATTATTAATTTTATTTTATTTAATTTATTATTTATTGATAAAAGAGATGAACAAAGACTTATAATATCATGTGGTTGATATACATGAATTTTTTTAAGTATTTCTTTTACATTAAGTTTATATTCTGGATATGATGCACAAATACATTCTGCCATTTTTTGAACTCTAAAACTACAAAATTGTGAATATGAATCATAATAAATACATTCAGAATTTAATCCTCCTATTTCTTCAGGTAATTGAACATTACATGCTATTTGCATACTAATTTTATTATTTATTTTATTATTTATTATTTATTTATCATTAAACAAACCATAATTGTGATTTCCCAATTCCAGGAAATCCAACTATTTGTGTTATTTCACCTAATGGAATTCCTCCATTTAAAAATTGATCAATTTGTTGATTAAATGTTGGAATATTTCTAATTTTCTTTTCTTTAACTTCTTCAACAACTTCTTTTAATGTTTTTGTTTTCATTTGTTTGATTTTTAGTTTATTATATTTATTCTTTGTTCATATTTCTTTTCATTCTTTATCTTATATAAATAATATATTGATATATAATACATATTATATATATATATTATCTTTATTTATTAAACTATTCTTTCTTTAAATAATATAATAATATTAAAATAATATAAATAATATAAAAGAATAAATATTTTAATAAATAAAGAAAATAATAAAATAAAATAAAAAGATATAATTAATAATAATTAAAAATTATTATTAAATAAAAAATAAAATTATATTAAAATTTAATTAATACAAAAAGTAAATTATTAACAACATCCTTTTTCTTCTTGTTTACTTTTATTTAATTGAATATCACCTTTTGGTAAATGTGGTTCATCAAAATTAATAGCTTCAAAGAGTTGTATAAATGTTTCTTTAACATCTAATTATTTAAATATTTATATTTTAATTAATTTAAAAAAAATATAATAATAAAAACCAAACTTTCTCCTGTTTTAGCTGATGCTTCAGAAAATAAAATACCTAATTCTTTTGCTAATTCTTCTCCTTCTTCATAACTTACTAATCTTTCTTGATTATTATCTGCTTTATTTCCTACAAGCATACAAACAACATCTGATTCTGCTTTAAAAATTTCATCACACCATCCTCTAATATCATCAAATGTTGTTCTATTAGTAACATCATAAACTATTACTGCACCTCTACTTCCTCTATAATACATAGAAACCATTGATCTATATTTTTCTTGTCCTGCTGTATCCCATAATGCTAATTTAATTTCTTGTCCTTGTTTTATATAATTTGTAGCAATAAAATTAGCACCAATAGTTGCTTTTTCATTTGTACTAAAACCACCCTTTGCATAACGATTAACTAATGATGTTTTACCTACACTTTGATCTCCAACAAGACAAATTTTATAAATGTTTAAATTCATTCTTTCTTTATATATTTACTTTCTTTTTTTGAAGTTCATTTTAATATTAGTTCATTTTATTTTATTATTAAATGGAATTTTCACAATTCTTTCTTCTTATTATCTCTCTCATTTTCATTTGTATTGGTATTTACTTATTCTTTAAAATTAAGACACTCCAACCAACTCAACCTTTACAACATCCTCAAAAAAAAAAATTCACTAGATGTACTGATTTTAGGGTTATTAGAAAAGAAATATGGCATGCTTTTCAAAAATATTATAAACCTCTTATCATTCAAGCATCAAATCTTCAACGGAGAAAGAAAGAATTAAATAATCGTATGATAAAAGGAGAAAATTGTCAATTAGAAATTGATCAACTTAAACAAGATATTCAAAAATGGTCAAATAGAAGAGATGGTGCAGCTGAACATGTTTTTAAAAAAGCTAATTCATTTATTCCTGTACAAGATAAAATGGATTTACATGGTCTTTTTGTTGGAGATGCATTAAAAATTGTACAAAGAAAGTTACCTAATCTTAAGAAAAATAATGAAATTCATACAATGAGAATTAGTTGTGGAGTAGGTAATCATAATGGTTTAGGATATTCAAAAATAGGAAGAGCATTAAGTAAAATGTTAAAAAGAAATAATATTCAATTTTGGGTTGATCATAAAATTGGGTTTATTAATATTAATATGAAAACTGTTCCTGATAAAATTGAATATGAAATTACAACAATTAAAATAGAAGATCATTTAGAAGAAATTACATTAGAAGAAAAAGAAATAAATTTTGGAAATAATGAAGATGATGATTAATAATTTAAATGAATAATTTTTTTTTTCTTTTTAATTATAAAAAAAAAAGAAAAAAAAAAAGAAAATAATATAGAACATGATTTAATAAGCATTTAGATGTATTGTTGTATAATCTATCTTTGTAATTCCACATTGTACTTTAATTAATCCAATATAATTAGTTTTTTGTGTAACTTTACCTTGAAGATATGGTGTTATTCGATTAATATATTTTGATTCAATTTCTAATTCTAATTCATTTGGTAAAGGAATTGAATAAATAAATGTTGGATTATAACAATTCCATGGTAAAGAAGGTAAAGGGATTGGAATAATAGTTTGATTTACATTTGTTTGAATTGATGTTAATATATTATAATGAGTTAATTCAAAATAATAAAAAGGTTGAAGACTAATAAATAATATTAAAGCAATAAAAGTAATAATATGAAAAGAAGAAAAAACAATAGAAATAAATAAATTTCTATAAAAAATATGAGAACAATTAAAATATATAAGTAAAAGTATTGTTAATAAACTAATAAAAGAAATAATATAAAGAATAGATATTAAAATTCCCATTATTCCTATAATTAAAGTTATAATTATTGAAGATATAATTAAAGTTATTATTATAGACCATATTATAAATTGTAATATACTCCACCAATTATTTTGTTTAAATATTTCTTTTAAACTTTCTTTTTTAATTATAAGTTCTTTTACTTCTGAATTATTAATAATAACAAATATCCATAAAATACAAGTAATAAATATAAGTATTATTTCAATCAAATAAACAGAACTTATAAGTGGAACAATAATTGAACTAATAGAAAATAAAATTGACATAAAAATAATAAAATATGTTGGTCCAAAACAATGACTAATTGTTGATTTTTTTTCTTTTTTATAAATTGGTTTTAATATTTTATTTTTTTGTTCTTTAAATTCTTTTTCAATTGTAATTAATTCTTTAATTGTTTTTTTTATTATTAAATTAAGATTTTCAATTTCTATAATTTTATTTTTTTTTAATTTTTCATTTTCTTTTTCAATTTCTTTTAATGCTTCTACCATAATAGGAATTATTCCAAGATAATCTACTGTAAGTCCTCCTTCTTCATCTATTTCTACTAATTCTGGATAAATTTTTTTAACTTCTTGTGCAATAAATCCATATCTTGGTGTTTTATTTTCTAAATCTGTTAAATATTTAAATTCTCTACCATATAAATGTTTTATTCCATATAATGCATTATTAATTTTTTCAATTTCTTTTTTATTTCTTTTATCTGATCTTACAAGAAATCCTTCATTTGAAAAAATTTCTCCTAACATATATAATTGTTGTACTTTATTTCTAATTCTTTTAATTTTTAATAATTCATTTATTTGATATTCTTCTTTATTTTTTTCTTCTATTATTTGATATTCTTGACTATTATTTAATATATTTTCTGTTGTTTCACTATCTGTTTTATTTATTTCTTTATATCTTAAAAATTCTTTTTTATCTTCTTTTTTTTCTTTATTCATTTTTTCTTTATTTTGAAGTTGATTTAATGCAACTCCAATAATTGGTGCAAGTGTTTCTGTAAATGCAAATGGATATGTTTGTCTTCCTTGTGTTTTATCAACTAATTTAATCATATATCTTTCACAAATTTTTTTTATTTTATCTTTTTCATTAGAATTTTTAAATGAAGTTATTAATATATTATCTGGATTATTTCCTTCTTCTGCAACAATTTGTTTAAGATGTAAATCCCAAAGATGTGCATAACAATTATATCTTGTTTTAGGTGTTTCATTACATCCAGGATAATTACATTTCCAATTCTTTTTACGTTGTTTAAGTGTTCGTGGGATTTCCTTGACAGGGACATTGACTATTCCACCGCCACCATTCATTTCCTATGATATTTAGATTTTTATTTTCTTTTCTTTTCTTTCTAAAAATCAAAAATCAAAAATTAAAAATCAAAAAGAAAATAGAAAAATAGAACTGAACTGAAAATAATGTATTATTTTAAGACATGGGAAAAATCAATGGATTAATTGTAATATTATTATGTATTGCTGTTACTGGAAAATCTAATAAGAAAATTGAAAAAATAGTTGAAGACACAGTCCAAAAAGAAATGGCAGCAGAGTATGCACGAGCATTTAAAACAAAAGATATTTCAAAACAAAATAGAACAGCTGAAGAACAAGCACGTATCAAAGAAATTGAAGGGAAAAAGAAAGTAGTAGAGATGAAAAGAAAAAATGTCACAACAGAGATTGAAGGAATTAATAAGAAGATAACATATTTAATAGAAGAACAAAAGAAAATTAATGAAACAATTAATTATGCAAGGAAACATGCAGATGAAAAAACAAATAAATTTAATGAAATGATGAAAAAGAAAATAGAAGAATATCAAAAAAATAAAAAAGAAATGGAAAGATTAACAGAAAAAAGAGAAGAATTAAATGAAGCTAAAATTGAAAATATTAGAAGTATGGGTATTGCTAAGACACAAATAGAAGAAATGGCAGAAGAAATGAGATCTAGAAGAAGAATGATAGGAGATCTTGAAAAGAAAAGAAAACGAAGAGTAAAAACAGCAAAATTAGTAGCAAAAGTTAGAAAAATAGAATATCAAAAATTAATTAAAAGATTAAAAGAATTAGAAATGGCTAAAGAAGAAATTCGAAGAATAGAAAAAAAAGAAGAAATGAAAGATAAAGCAATAGAAAAGAAAGAAGCTAAAGAAAGAGCAATAAAAGAAAGAAAAAGAAAAATAATAAATACAAAATTAAAAGCAAGTAAAATTATAAAAAATGCAGAAATGATTAATAAGATTTATAAACAAATAGCAGAATTAAAGGCATATAAAAAGAAACAAATTCAATGTGCACGTAGAACATTTGAAAAATATAAAGAGAAAGAAAGAAATAAAATAGAAAAGAAAAAAGGAGAAATAATTAATAAAAAATTAAAAAATGAAATTGAAGAAAGAAAAGGAAAATATTTAATGAAAGTTAAAAGAGAAATTCAAGAAGAAATAGATAAATTAAGATTAGAAAAAGAAAGATTTGATGAAGAAAGAAAAATAGAAAATAAAAAAATAGAAGCATTAAAAGCTATTGGAGATAAAGAAATTAAAGAAAGTAAAAAAAGACTTAAAATAAGAAAAGAAATGATGAAAAAGAAACGAGAAGAAATACTTAGAGAAGAAATGAGAACAATGAGAAATAAAAATGAAGAATATTCAAATAGGATTAAGAAAGATATTATGAAAAAAGCAGTAGAATCAAGTAAAAAAATGAATCAAAAAAGAAAAAGATTACAAGAAAGTTTAAAAGAATTAAATACAAAAATTGCATTAAAAAAGAAAGTATTAAAACTTCAAAGTCAAGATGCTAATATGGGAAGTGCATTAGAAAGATTTGAAATTCAAAAATTAAAAGATCAATATTATAGACTTGCAGCATTAAAAGAAAGACAAAAAATGCAAATTAAAGCTAATAAAGAAATAATAAAACATAATATACAAATAGATGATTTAGAAGATATTGATAATAGAGCAAAATATGCATTATATCAAACAATATTAAGAAGAAAAGGTATTCAAAAAACAATTATTAGAGATACTAAAAAGAATTCTAAAGAAGCATTAGAAGAATTAAAGAAGAAACTTAAGAAAGAATTTATGTTAAAGAAGAAAGTTATGAATTTAAAAAGATGTTTAAGAACAAGAATTGCTATGAATGATGAAATTAAGAGAAAAGAAATAGAAAGAAAATTAAAAGTAATGATTAAGAGAGCTGTTATTGCAAGATTAAATTCAGCTAAAACAGCACGATGTGTTGGTAAAAATGAATTAATTAAGAAGATGATAAAGAAATAAGAAAAGGTTTTTAATTCATTAAATTTTGAGTTTATTAATTTCTTTAAACCAATTTGTTTTCTTTTTATTAAAGAATAATTATTGATATAAATACTATGAAATATTTCATCTTAATAACCAAACTTTGAGTTAATATAAATAAAATATATCAATATATTTTAATAGAGTTATACTTGTTAATAAAAAGAAATAATTTAATTTTTTGAGACTTTTTTATTAAAAATTATGAGAATTGATTATTTATTTTTTTTTCATTCTATTGTATTAAGTAAGAAAATATTTGATAATATAAATAATTATTTTATTTATAATAACAATATTTCTAACATATTATAAATGTATTTAAGTAATTAATTGATAATTTAACTAAATAATTTAAACAGTTTAAATAAATCAAATAGTGTTATTATGATATTTTTATAAAATATAAGTTCTATTCTTTAAAACTTAGTATTTACATTATAATAACAAAGAATAATTAACATTTAATAATAAATAATTCATTTTGTTTATAAATGAAGAAGAGTACTAATAAAATATGAGAATGAAATATATTTCATAATTTATTTTCAATATAATAAACTTATTATCTGAAATTAATATAATGATTAAATATAATGAATAACTGAATTATCTTACTAAAAGAAGTTAATTCAATTTGAATCAATATAAGTTTTTATTAGAATGATTAAATAATTAAATATAAAAATATTGATAATTATAAATAATTGAATAATAAAATCAATTTTATTTATTCATTTATTATTTATCAATTTTATATATTCATAAACAAATTGATAAGATAAGAAATAATATGATATTTAAATAATTACTAAATAATTAATGTTAATACAGTTACTTATTCTTTTTTCATTATTTATGATTATTATATCACAAATAGTTCTCATATTTTAATCTTTTTATTATTTAAATTTAAATAAAATAATTAATGATGTTAAATATAATAATGATATATTAATAAGATATTGTAAAAGTTTAATCAAAATTATATTAATAGATTAAAATTATTAAGAATATAATAATAAATTATATGAATAAATCATATTTAATTAGTTTAATTTATAAATCATTTTTTTGATTATGAAATAAACAATATTTAATATATATTATCTAATATGAGTTTTATTTATTATTCTTTCTTTATTAAATAATCTGTTTCTTTATTTTTTATTTCTTTTTATTTCAAATCTATTTGTTTTTGAATGTGTATCAATGGAAATAATAACTATCATAATATATTTTGATATTTGATTTATAGAATTTATTCATTTATATATCTTTTTATTCTTTTTCTAATTCTTTATGGTAATTTATTATTTCTATCATTATAACAATAATCAATATCTCTTTTATATTTCGTTCTTTAATATGTTCTTTTATAATTTTATTGTTTTATTAATCTGTTTCTAAAAATTCTCTTTCATCTAACTTATTCTATTTATTATTATATTTATTATCTAACTTGTTATCTATAAACTTTTTATATTATTCTAAGATTTGTATATATATTTCTATTAATTCAATTCTAATTTTATCATATCCATCAAGTAAATGTTTTTGTGTTGTAAATTTGATTACAAATACTTCATTTTATTTTTATATCTAATTAATAATTTATATAGTATTAATTGTATCATCATTACATATCATTTTGTTAATTAATACAGATTAATTATCATTAGAAATAAACGAATGAAATATTAATGACATATTTTAATAATTAATGAGAATATCTAATAAATGACATTCAATAATTAAGTCATTTTTATTTCATTTTCAGTATATTTGTTTATTCTTATTAATTATGTACTTTTAAAATTATGAATAAGAAGTGATGACAATTCATAAATGAAAATAAAACGAAATAAATAAAATGATAATAATGATAATGATGTCACTGAATTTTATTATTACCATATTCATAAATTATATTATTTATTTTTCTTCTTATTTCTTATTTCTTATTTTCATTTCATCTTCATTAATAATTTATTTTTGTTTGGTTTTATTGATTTGTTAATTAAATTTCATTTAATTTATTTTTGTTTGTTTATTCTTTATATTTATAACTTGATATGTTTTATTTCATTTTCATTCTATCTGTTGTTGGTGTTAGTTATTATAGATTCTTTTATCAATTCAGAATATACATCATATTTTGTTGTTATGCATATTGAGTAATGAAAGAGAGTCTTGTAAAGAAAAGTAAACAACAAACAGGTATTCAAGTTCAAAGAAAAGAATGAAATAACAATAAAATATATAATAATAATGGTAAAAGAAATAACAAGAAAAAAGTGAATAGAAAAAGAAGAATACAAATAAAAACAAATAAGAAACAATGTAAATATAATGATAATAAACATTATACAAATAAGAAATCTAAATTATTAACAACAAATGAAAGTCAAATAAAAAATAAAAGAATAAGAAGTAAAATGAGAAAGGAGAATAATCAGAAATACTTAAAAAGTATGAAGGTAAAGAAATTGTATAATATTCTCCAAGAAGTATATTCAATAATAAAATAATAAAGAAAAACAAAGAAGAATTCAAATAGGCAATAAAAGAATGGTTAATGATATTAAAACAAATGAAAAATGAATCAAAAACAAAAATCAAAACAAAG